TGAAAGAAAAATGTTCCGAAAGATCTACGGCCGATCTACGTCAACGGTGAATATCGGCGTCGAATGAACCACGAGCTTTACAATTTATAAGCGAACATCGACATAGTCAGTCGTATTGAGCTGTAGCGACTACGGTCGCTTGGCCATGTTGTGCGAATGAATGATAATGCCCCAGCTCAAAAGGCATATAAAAGCGATGGTTCACTATTAGGAATTATCCTTACAATAAAGTTCAGCAAAGTTGTATTTTTTTGGAATATTTCCTTTATAATTTTAGTAGGCCCAGTCCTAAATTTAATGACAGTTCATTTAACGAGTTGTGTTTCCCAATGTTTCAAAGTTCACATTAAAAGTTCATCTTATAATGAGAGCATTTATTAAATTACATAATACATACTGTACTTTATAACCTGCATCCCTGTTTCGATGCAGTTTACAAATTATTATTTTTTTCCTTTTAGATAGAACTCAAACTCTTCTGTACGTATTTTGTAGGCCATTTACTGTTACGACTTTAATATTTTCTTCTCATATTATGTTTTTTTTCTTTTTTTTCAAATTTGTTAACTTTTCTGTGTCTGTGTAGTTGCAAATGTGTAACATGTGTGTATGTGTTTGCTTAATTGAATTAATATGTAAATAATTCTAAAAAAACTCGATTTTACTAATTATCCTTAATTGTAATAATTTTTAATTGCACATTTTGTTTGTTTGTTTATGTGTGGGTGTTGTGAAATTTTTCGATATTTCGAACAGGACTGCGGAGTCGAGAGTGTTAAGAAAGTTAAAAAAATTAAAATTTAAATGCTTAAGGAGAAAAGGGAAGTAAAATTGGCCCTATTGTCTGAAATGAAGAACTTTTGCCTGTATTATTTCTCATATCTTCTTATCACATCTTCAGATTAATGCTACCAACCAATCTACAAGGATATTAAAAGATCTCAAAACATCGATGTTTTTACAGCAAAGAGTAGGGTTATTGACTGTATTCGTGCGGATCTTTTGTGGGTATCAGGATGTTTCAACCACTATTCAAGGTTATTTTCTCAATTTCCAAATTTTATAACACAATAACGCATGTCAGCCTATCTGTGAAACTGAAAAATGGTTGAAAATTGCTGCTGTCTCATCACCGAAACCCTCAAAGCCTTGAGGAGTAACAACAACCTGCGTTAAACTAACGTTGTCTATGGAAGCTCATTCATCTATGTTGTATGCTTCAGCATCGGTCCAACCAAGTTGGACATTTTCGAAAGAGACTCAATAAGGCAAACCAACATAGTAGCTGAACAATTGATCTTTAATGATGAATAAGTAGCAATATGATCCCGACCGATGCATTAGTGGCGAGTTGAAATTATAATGTGTCTGATTTATATATTGGTCTTATATATGATCCACTAAATATATGAATTGTCCAAATTAAGGTGAAGGATATCATGTAATCGGCCAAGGACAACTGAACAATTGATCTTTAATGATGAATAAGTAGCAATCTGATCCCGATTTATATATTGGTCTTATATATGATCCACTAAATATATGAATTGTCCAAAGAAAGGTGAAGGATATCATGTAATCGGCCAAGGACTACTGAACAATTGATCTTTAATGATGAATAAGTAGCAATCTGATCCCGACCGATGCATCAGTGGCGAGTTGAAATTCTAGTGTGTCTGATTTATATATTGGTCTTATATATGATCCACTAAATATATGAATTGCCCAAATAAAGGTGAAGGATATCATGTAATCGGCCAAGGACTATTACCTTACTGTTTGTAAAATATTTTCAGAAAATGCCCTACAATCGGCTCCATCTTTAATCTTTAAATCAGATTAGATACGGTCAGCAAAAAGGACGAGTTTTAAAATATTTTTAAATATTCAGGAATATATTGTGTCCTTGAAGAAATCGTCCCCGGATAAAATGAATATATTCCAATATTTTTCCAAAAAATCGAAGAATTCACTTCTGAGAATTCCACCAACTGATTATTTTTCATAAACTGGTCACCTGTATTAGATAAGTGCCAACACAATCCAAGGATACAAAAATTCAATTTGTGCAACTCTTCAAATTTGGTCATTATTTAAAGAAAACTCATTCTCGAAGGAGTTTGATGTGCTTTTTAGGTCTTATCCCAAAATACTACTTCCACTAGATACTTGAGCTTTGGTTTCTAAGTCGTTTTTAATCAATATGTCAGCTTCCAGTGGGATGGCTTACTTTTGAATTACATGCCATAGCTATAAGGCTATTTAATTGAGAATACTATTTTTTTAACAAACATTATGGTTGAAGATTGGACTTATCGGTTCACCCTTTCTGATGAACTCCTTCAAATTTTTAGACAAATTGAAGCTAATTGAGAATCCAAAATGTTCCAAACGTTGTAAAGTGAAAATTGGACCCATTGACCCTCGCCTTTTTATCCTTCACCCACAAATCTCAAAATGTTGAGAATTTGTAAAATAACTATGAAGAGATTGGAGTATACGATTTAATTCAAATCTTAAAAAAATTTGCCAAACATTCCTCAAAATTATGGGGTATATTGGGCCCCTTGTAGCTCCTCCACAGCTGGTAATCTGGATACATTTTTATACCCTTCACCACACTGTGGTACAGGGAATTATGTCTTTGTGCATATGTTTGTAACAGGCAAACATAATCGAGATAGACCCATGGTTCCTTTTGAGAATATGCATAGAATCACTTCCTGAGTCGATTTATGCGTGTCCGTCCGTCCATGTATTATTATTAAAAAAGTACAGGTAGCATTTATGATCCGATTTGGATGAAATTTGGAACAGGTCACTTAATTGGCCCAAGGACGAACCCTATTTAAATTGGAAAAAATCGGTCTACCTTTAGTCATAGCTCCCATATAAGGGTACCCCTTAATTTTCGGTATTTTGAGGTTATTTAGCGCGTTTTTTAACTGAATTCGCTGAAAATTTGGTACTTTGAGTTCTTATTGGGTAGCAAATCTCCCTACTAAAAATTATAAATATAGGTCTATTTTTTCGGATAGTCCCCATACAAGGGTACCCCCAATTTTCGGAATTTTGGGGGCTTTGTTCGCATTTTTCGACCGAATTCGCTGAAATTTGGTACTTATAAATCTTATTGGGTAGCAAATCACCCTACTAAAAATTATAAATATAGGTTAATTTTTTCGGATAGTCCATATATAAGGGTGCCCCAAATTTTCGGTATTTTGGGGTTCTTGAGCTCGTTTTATAACTGAATTCTCTGAAATTTTATACATTGGGTTCTTATTGGGTATCAAATTACTCCACTAAAAATTATAAATATAGGTCCAGTTTTTCTGGTAGTCTCCATATAACGGTACCCCCAACATTTTTGGTATTTTGGGGATCTTGAGCGCGTTTTTCAACCAAATTCGTTGTAATTTGGTTTTTGTAGTCGTATATGGTAACAAACCTCCCTCCCAAAAATTATTAATATTCGCCCCACACACACAGGTCACTTAATAGGCCCAAGGACGAACCCTATTGAAATAGGAGAAAATCGGTTCAGATTTAGATATAGCTCCCATAATATATTCGTCCGATTTGAACTTATTGATGCACCAAACTTCCAATAGTGATCCGATTGAGACAAAATTTTGCACAGAGTATTGAATTAGGTCTAGATAGTTGCCAAGTTTTGTTGAAATCGGTTCAGATTTAGATATAGCTCCGATTTATAGTTTCGTCAGAGTACTGAATTAGGTCCCGACTGGTGTATATGAAATTTGGTTGGAATCGGTTCAGATTTAGATATAGCTGCTATATATAGTTTCGTCCCATTTTATGTAAATGAAGCTCCATATTGTCAATATTTATCCGATTGAGACAAAATTTTGCACAGAGTACTGAATTAGGTCCCGACTGATGTATGCGAAATTTCTATATCTACAGGATATTGTAGATATTTACATGTCTTGCATGTACCCATAGTGATGAAGGGTATCATATAGTCGGCACCGTCCGACTTTTGAACTTTCCTTACTGGTTATATTTATACTGAACATAAATTTATTCAAGTGTCGGCTGTATGCCCGACACCTCTGGTAATACCCTCACAAATTGTCACAAATTAAAATAAGCATATATAAGATAAATGTACGCCAAATATAAGTCATAGTCCGAGGGTACAAATCTGTAGTTGGCTAAAACATTCTAATAAGGCTGATGATATAAAGTTGTTTATTATATATTATTTCTACGCACGAAATATTTTCTAGAAAAAGTTGACCAACGTCATGTTCATCCTTCAATACATTTAAAATTTACCCCTGGCACTATTATACAATTCCCTTTTTGGTTACGTCCTCAGTCGAAATCGTTGTGGCCAAAGAGAATTCATATTCATGACCCATGGACTATTCCATATGAAGTCCATATGACCTGAATAATTTTAATTTTTGAAGGTGTCGAGAGTAAATGTGTACGGCTACGCAGTCCTGTTTATTTGTAACATAAGAAGAACACACGTGACCCTTCTAAATACACTAGACCACTTATGGGTTAAATGATAAAAATATTTAGGTTTTATATATAATAAATTAAAACATAACATTTATTGATTAATAATAGTAATAATAAGAAGAAACAAAAATGTACAAAAGAAAACAAAGCAAAATAATAAATAAGCAGAGAAGAGAGAGATCCTTTTTTTCAGGGGGAAAAATACCATTTGATGGTCAAAAAAATTATTACGACCATTTACTAAGTAATTATCATTCAGGCTCAACATATTGGCGCCCTGTATTTAGAAGAGATGGTCCTTCATTTGTTGTTGTTGCTGATGTTGTTGTTACTGCTATTTTCTTTGTTTTTTTTTTAGCTTTTAAAATTTTCTTTGGGCCAGTGCCATGTGGTTGGTGTCGAGGTAGTGGCAGAATTGGGTTTCAACGTCCTCATCATTATTTTTTTGGTGTTCATGGTGTGGTTGGTTGGCTGGATGGTGTTGGGGGGACAATCACAAAACAACTTTTATTTCTTCCGAAAATAGAACCCATCGCACTTTTGTTTTTGTTGTTGTTGTCGTTTGTGTTTTCTGGTTTTGTTTAAAAACTACTACTCCTGTTGCAACTAACTTAACGGATGATAAAAAGAAATATGCAATGCCATCTATCTTTGTAGCCATTGGTTCTGTTGATAGGTCACCAGGCAGAAGAGTGCTGCCATTAGCAACATTATCTGTTGCCAAGAACTGTGTAAAGCTGTACCGGCATCGCCTTCACCGTTGCGACAAATTCCCGGATGTCGTGTAAAATCTTCGCAGTAAATCTGAAATGAGCATCAATAAAAGACACCAGAGGTTTTAATGTTGGCGAAATAGAGGGAGTGCAAGTGAGAGAGAGAGAGTGAGTCGGCTTTCAATGTTTAGATTTATAGCCTGGGCAGTTGGTTCTGTCGCAGTCGAATATTGGTCCCAACATTTTGGGAGTATGTGTGTTGTGTGTGTTTTTTAGGAATGTTTCTGGGTGTTAGTTTGGTATTGCCCCACACTCACATACATAACGAATGAGGAAGGACATATTAGACCATCATTAAAGAGACTTATTGTTGAGTTCACTATATAACCCAGCAAAGAATTTGAGACAAATTTTAACTCAATATTGAAACCATTTAAAAAATATCAAATTTAGAATAAAAAGAAATATTTATTCGGAAACAAAGATTTAACAAAATAATAAGGTCTTACAAAATTAATTAAAAAACATTCAAATTCAATCTTTTGCTGGGTTATCTCTTCGCACAACTATCATCTAATAACCCACCCTTCCCACTCAAGTATGCATTGCCTATCTGCCTGTGTATATTTGTATCTAAGTCCATCCTTATGTTTTTACGATTTGCCTTGTTAACGTACAACAACATCAAAATCGAAACAACAACCCAAAAAGTCGTACAGTAGCAATAACTCACCCTGGTTAAGCTGTTGGCGTATTTATCGACTAATTCACGTGTAAATTTTGCAGCATCAGGCCCACATATCTTTTTAGCAGCATTTTCGGAACAGTCGACAAGTTCATTGATAGAGCTGTAAATTTAAAACCAGAGAAAAATAGAAGAAGATATTAGTCAGTTGTTTGACTTTTATGTTCGTTTGTATGGGTGTGAGTGTGTTTGCGTATGTGTTTGTGTGAATGTACACCAAATATCAACGACCACATTTGCCAATGACGTTAACAGGTAATTTGGTTTCATTTTTCCCAAGGGATAATATGTATTGCATGGGAAATTTGTATTTGTTCCAGACGACCGTGGGTAAAAGGATCGTAAAATTGGTACCGACAGCTTGTTTTAAGATAGCCCTCAGGGAGAATGTATGCAACTGACATCTTTTTTATAGAACAATCTTAGGGGGCGCGATTAAAAAATTGTAAAATTGGGCCGACACAAACAAATCTAAGTTTATAGCAATGCGAGTTTTATTCAAAATTATATTTTGAGGTCCTACTTTGACACAGATTTTCTAAATTGTAATTAGGTAATTTTGTAGAGCCCCATATAGTCTATGTTATTTCTTTAGTGTAGCATAATTATGTGGCACATGAGCAGCAAAAACGAAAATGGATTGCGTCCCTATTTTGTATGTCAACATGTGGACCTATACCGAAAATTTTCGGCAACAATAACTGGAAATGCTAAATTACAGCAACTTCGGTAAGAAAATGCTTCTGAAACCTTAAAAGTATGCAAGTGAGACGGAACCATTTAGACCTATACAGAAAATCTTCTAGAAAAATGTATTTTACCCTTCAAGAACCAAGAATACATTATAGCCACATTAGGGGAGGATGCGACTAAAACCTTTCGAAAACATTGACCTAAAATCGAACATTTTCAGTGTATATGTATGAGATCCTCTACTTTGTTGGGAAATGTGATTAGAATATTCAAGTTATGGAAAATAGGATAATACTGTTATATGGAGCTACACCATAAGTTAGAACGCGATAACGCTATTTTCGGGAGCAGATTTGAAACCCAATGACAACCAAAAACATCAAATTACAAGCAATTAAGTTGAAAAACGTTCCCAAAACCTCCCAAATCTGTCACTGATCCGCCCGTCGGGGTCAGCCTTGTCTATGATTGCAACTCTCTGGTAATCTAGTCCGACTTTCGTCTCCCCGGTGTTAGCCTTCCCCTAACCCTCTTGGCCGCTACTGCTGTATACGAGACAGAAGGTTAAAAGCCTGATCTGATGGAACTGAGATCTTGGTGGGCATACTTCTGATAGTAACAAACTGTCCTGACTTCCTGCCTATGTTTCTTTGGATTTAGCACTTTTGTTGCAGTAGTCGACAACGGGGTTTGGAGCACCCTTCTTGTCTTCTGTTCCCTACGTTGCTAATTGCCTTCGAAGCAGTGGTGGCTTATCGATTGCCGCTTACGTCTGCAGGACCGTTTCCGTCTTTGAATAGTTGGTATCACCAGAAGTCACATCCGATGTCCCCTGTTGACTAGAGGTAGAGACTTCAATGACCGTAGAGTTAAAGTCCTCCTTCTCGTCTGTCATGGGGGTGTAGTCCCATATGCCTGCTGGATGCTTTCCTCACTGAGACGGAAGCTTTCATAACCCTCAATGAGGTTGCGAATTGATTTGGTGATGCCACCACCCGCATTTAATGTTCTTCTTGAAGAGCGCTGGAAGAAGAGTCCGTGCCCGAGTTCATTATCGATTGTTTGTCCTTGAGGAATGACAGACTGAGGGTGTCAAGGCAACCACACCAACATCAGTCGAGTAGGATTTTTTGTTTTTGGGGTTTTGTTCGTTTAAGACAATCCATAGGTTATACAAAAAGTGGAGGACAGAGTGTCGACCATGACATAGCATCCTTACCATGACATAGCCTCCTTACCATGACAAGGACTTGGTAATTAAATCTAATACTGTTAGAGGCTCCCATGTATAAAAACAATAATAGGCACGGCTTCTGATTGGACCAATGCAGATCGTTTTAAATAGGAATATTTTATTCCCAATGATAATCCAAAATGCCAAATTACAGTTTTCAACAGATGACAAAGGGACGGTAAAAATCAACATAAAATGTTCTTATTAATCCTGGTAAACGTCACATACCCGGAAACCTCCATTTGCTATATTTTTTGAATGTTTTGCCCTAAATTGACGTTATATATTTGGTATTGTGACGACGTGTTTTCACTTTGAAGCTGGGGTAGGTTCAACGGGGGCCAGAGTCGTCACAAGAATTTATTTGTGGCAGACCGATGAACACGGTCAGACCGATGAACACAGTGGCAGACCGATGAACACGCAGGTGTCGAATAGGGGTGGCGGCAGCTTTGGCACAGCAGTGGCCCGATGAGTACGGCGAGTAGTAGTAGCAGTAGTAGTAGTGGCAGCAGCTTGGCACAGCGGCGGCCCGATGAACAGGCGGACGACGAATAGGGGTGGGGCAGCTTTGGCACAACAGCAGCCCGATGAGTACGTCAGCGGCGAGTAGTAGTGACGGTCGCTTTGGCACAGCAGCAGCCCGATGAGTACGTCAATCGCCCTAAACGCAGCCCGAAGAATAGGGAGTATTCCTACAGCCCTCACTTGGCCCTGCGTTCCGTCGCCGTCAACGCAGCCCGATGAATAGGGAGTATTGCTACAACCCTCACTTGACCCTGCGTTCAGTCGCCGTCAACGCAGCCCGATGAATAGGGAGTATTGCTACAACCATCACTTGACCCTGCGTTCAGTCGCCGTCAACGCAGCTCGAAGAATAGGGAGTATTGCTACAACCCTCACTTGACCCTGCATTCAGTCCAGTCACCACAAATAGTCAAGGCTTATTGTTTGGCTTACTAAGACTCAATTTCTTACCAAGGTTGCGTGCCTTTTCTTCCTCCCAATCACACTTGACTCACAAGCCATCAACAGAAGACTGATCCGATTGTTTTTACGATTTTAGCCTTCGGCCATTTTATTAAGGGGACCCCCTTTAAACGCGTTTTTCTCTAAACATTTTTTTGCGAATGGCGGGCACGATAACTCAAAAACTAATAATCCAATCGGTTCCAAATTTTGCAACGTTTCTCTGGGAGTGTATAGCTCTCGTATGAACTAGGATAAAGCCAATCGGTGAAGATCTTCCTTATTTTTTAACTTAGTTTTTGGTAAAAAATCGGCGATTTTCCAAAAATATTTATTTAAAGGTCCACCATTTTGTTAATTTTAGAGCGAAGTCAATAATCCTAGTTCATACGAGAGCCAGACATGTACTCTTTCTAAGACCGTTGGAATTTTCCGATTCCGATGTTCCTTAATTCAAATCTTACATCTATAACAGGTTGAACGGCTTGAACCTATCTTACGTCATAACATATCATGCACTTATTCAGCGCCTACTTTACCCTTAACAATAAGTGTCTAGGCTTAGCAGAAGACACAACCAACTCACTAAGACTATGCCCTATGGCCCCACGTACAAACTATGCCCCGAAAAATAGAATAATTAAAAAAGGGCTATGAAAAACTGATCCGATTGTGTGAAATGCGTCTCCTTTTATACCTTTTTGGCTGGTCGACTATTGTTGTTTTCGCATGACAGCAGCTGGATCCAATCTGACAGTTCTGCGTAGTTCCGCCATTTGCCACCAGGGGTTCCAATGTGGTCTTTTAATGATAGCTATATTCACTAGGGGACCGGTGTAACCGTTAATATTTAATTTAATTTTTCACACAAAACTATTTCCTTCTTGATTTTATATAGAAAGTAAATAAAAATTATATTGGAAATAATAATGTACCCCAAAAACGAAGAGCATGACTTTTGGGCGTTACAGTATATATATATATATATATATACTATATATATAATATATATAATAATAATTTCTGAAAAAGGGGACCGAAAACCCCTTCAGAGAGGACTGGAGAGACTGAGGTATTATACAATATTTCTCATATTTATATCAGTAATATTGCCAAAGATGTAAGGATTTCGAGAAATCCTAATCCGAATATTTTCAAATATCTGGGAAATGTCAAGGGGGCACATTTCCCAGACGTAAACTTTCAAAATGCAGAAACATGTCTCTTCTATATTTAGCCCCTCCATCTTACTTTTTTGAAATTTCCAATAATTATTTTGTATGTGTAATTTATATTTCTGATTATCAACGACAGCTAATTCACCACTTTATATTGATTGTTGTAAAAAATTTGAAATTCTTACAGAAACTTTTCACTTTAAAGTTTTGTATTGGAGCCCTTATATAGGCCTCTATTTACAAAAACAGACCCGAGCAGCTTGTCGAACTTAGCATATGGTGATATTTATATAGTGATTTGAGATATTTATTTCAACTCGGTGCACCATCCCATCTAATACCCTGAATTTTTTAAAATTAGATTTAGATTTATTATGACTTTTTAAACATTTATTTTTGCCCATGTCAATTTTCGCATCGATCACAATTACCCACTGTCTGATATATAACATGAATTTCCAGGAAATAGTTCTCAATTAGTATTTCCTCACATACCATTTAATATATGAATGTATGTGTGTTTCTTTACATGTCATACTTACCAGCATATCGTTTTAATGTTCTCACTGAGGGTGATATTTTCATGGTTTTCCTGATTGTTATTAGGCTTCAGGAATAGCATTGTTTCCTTATAACGATTGGCACATACTTCGAATTCTTTCTTAGCCTTTTGTGAGCATGGTGCATGTCTCAGGTATTCTGCCAGCCGGTGAACGATGCACAGAGATACGAAAAGGGAAGAGAAAATAGAAGAAGAAAAAAAAAAGACAAAACATTAGCAGTGTAATGAAACAAAAATCCAGGAAAAAATGAAACAATACAAATGTGAAACATTGACAATGGAACGACCACGACCACACATACCCAAATCCTACCTCACCTACTAGTTGTACATAGTTGACTACTCCATTCATTGGCAATTCAGTAAAGGCAATGAATCGTTCATTTGTCGTTTAATTTAAAGAAGTCTGAACCTGAATAGATAAATGCGGTGGAGTTTTTTTTAAGAGACAATATTTGGGGCAAATTGTATTGGTTAAAATGTCTAAGCCACATAGAATGTAAACGTGGGTGTGTGTGTGTGTTTCTGTGTCTGCGAAATAAAATGCAACAAAGAATTTACAAAATATGTTAGCAAAGTTGTTTTGGATGATACAGTGAAAGAAAAGTATGATTAGAAAATAAGGAGGATGATAATAAGTCTGGTCGGAGAATTCGTTTTTCCTCGTCCCTAGAATGTCTACTGCAGCCTATTTAAAATGTCATTATGGCACTTGTCTTGGCTAATTTAATTTCCCTACCAAATAATCATTATATTATGTAAGTTTTTTCACAGTGTACCATTTACAGACACCTCAGCACGTATCCATGTCCATGATGATATTCAATTCTTTCTTCTATTGTTCTCACAATACAACCGTAGCCAAATATGTTTGCCTTTAATTGGAATTTCGTTCATATGTTGACCACATCTGGTTATCATCCTGTTATGGCCGGTGTGTCTGCCTGCATTGATAGTGAATTTTTCAACAAAACAAAAAATAGAGGAAGAAGAATGGCTTGCAATTGAAGAACAATAAATCATCTGTTCATTCAGTGGATTGCTCTATTTTGCCATTGAATGGCTTTTTGGCCAGAGCTAATTAATATCTGTTCTGTTTTTCCGAAGATTTTGTCTTTAAGTATTGATATATGTGTGTAGGTAGCTTTTTGGGTGGCTTTCCGGCTGACCTTGCATTTAGAGTTTAAAATTATAAAAGTCATAAACATTAAATTTTTGGGAAAATTTTCAATTATGTTGGGTATCCTATGGGATTCAGTTATTTGTTTTATAGTTATAGTTCAATGATGCACCAAAGGCATAGCGTTATGAATTGAGACTACAACGAAATAAGTCAAAATTGTTTTAAATCGGTCCAGATTCCGGTAGGGTTCCCATATGAAGATTAGACATGAGACTAGAATAATAAATTACAAGTTTAGTTCAACGTGCTTCAGACTAATATGTAGGTCCCATATTTATTTTCTTTCTATTCCATGTAAACGAAACCCTAAATATCCCACGATTCGATTTAATAAAAACCACTACAAAATTCGGCCGCTGTGAAATAATTATACTCTCCAAAAAAACAGGTAATGAAAAAAGAGATAACCAGTAAGGAAAGTCTAATATTTCAATAAGCTATGCAAAATTTCGTTTCAATCGAATTTATAATTAGAGTTTGGTGCACCATCGGACATGAATATATACTGGAGCTATAACTAAATAGTAACTTTTTATAGAAAACTTCACATATGCCAATCTGTACTGAATTCAGTACTCCGTGTCAAATTTTGTGACGTGGGTGGGAAATATCTTTGGCCCCACCGTCGGAAAATGCAGCCTTCATGAAGAAACATCCGACAACGGCATGAGGTTGATTGACTTCGCGGCAGCAAAAAACATGGTAGTTACAGGACCAGATTCAAGCATCTCAATATACACAAGGCCACCTGGATTTCTCTTGATAAAGTAACGAGAAATCAAATTGATCATGTTGTGATAGACGGAAGGCATTCATCCAGTGTTTTAGACGTCCGATCGATCCGAGGAGCGAATATCGATTCGGACCATTACCTTGTGGCAGCCAAGGTACGCACCCGTCTTAATGTTACAGCAAAGGTGCGATCTAATACAACACTGAAACTCGACGTCGAAAAGCTGCAAACACAACAGGTAGCCGAGGCCTACTCCGCTCAACTTACCCATCTGCTTGAAAAAAACACTTCTTGTCCCGATAATAGTATAGAAGCACAATGGCAAAGAATTGCCCACTCCCTACAAACTGCAGCAAAAAGAACAATTGGGTACCAAAAAGCACCACCAAGAAACCCATGGTACGATCAGGAGTGTCGTAATGCTACTGATGTGAAAAACGCAGCGTATAGGGCAACCCTGCAGACAGTAGCAACACGATACGTGATGGAGAATTATCGGGAGAAAAGGAGAGAGGAGAAACGTGTTTTCAGAAAAAAGAAGAAAGAACAAGAAAAACGTGAGCGTGAGCAAATCGAGATGTACAGGAGTCAGAATGAAGTCCGGAAATTTTACCAACGAGTAAAACACCAAACCGAAGGCTTTGGTGCAGGCACATCCTCCTGTAGAGACGAAGAAGGAAACCTGGTGACAGATACATACAGCGTGTTGAGGATCTGGAAGGAGCATTTCGAAAAGCTACTAGTATCAAATAGTGGCGATGAAGGAGATACCCCAGAACCAATAAGAGATGATGGTATAGAGTGTATACCACCTAGCCAAGATGAGGTCATAAAAGCATTTAATCGGCTCAAAAGCAACAAAGCAGCAGGAGCCGATGGGTTACCAGCCGAACTATTCAAGACTGGTGGCCAGATCCTGGTCAGGAGCATGCACCAGCTGATTAACACAATTTGGCTAGATAAATGCATGCCCAATGATTGGAACCTCAGCATCCTGTGTCCCGTGCACAAAAAAGGAGACAAGACGATATGTGCCAACTATAGAGGAATAAGTCTCCTTCCCATCGCATATAAAGTGCTATCCAGTGTGCTGTGTGAACGATTGAAGCCAATGGTCAATGACATCATCGGACCATACCAATGCGGCTTCAGACCTGGCAAATCCACCATTGACCAGATTTTCACTCTGCGCCAAATCCTGGAAAAGACCCACGAAAAACACATCGACACATACCACCTATTTGTCGACTATAAAGCCGCATTCGACAGCCCTATCCGTTCAGAGGTGTTTAAAGCCATGTCTGCGTTCGGCATTCCTGCAAAATTAATACGGCTATGCAGGACAACTTTAAGTGGCACAAGGTCAGCCGTTAAAGTAGGAAAGGACCCATCGGAGCCCTTCAATACCGAACGAGGATTCAGACAAGGTGACAGTTTGTCGTGTGATCTTTTTAACATCCTACTGGAAAAGGTCATACGAGACGCAAAGGTGTACAGAAATGGCAATCTGTACACCAAACAACACCAGTTACTCGCATACGCCGATGACTTCGATATAATGTGTCGAACATTGCGAGCGGTAACAGCCACCTTTGAACAAATTGAAAAGGAGTCTGCCAAAGTGGGTCTGGCAGTAAACGGCGAGAAGACCAAGCTAATGGTTTCAACGCGCAAGACGTCCAGTAGACTCGGACCAACTGTGGAACTTGAGAACTACAGCTTCGAGGTAGTTAAAGACTTTATATACCTTGGTACCGCCATAAATAAAACGAATGACATCAGTTTTGAAATTCGGAGAAGGATTGTGATGGCCAACAGATGCTACTATGGTCTAAGTAAGCAGTTTAGAAACAAGGCCACCTCTCGCCAGACCAAACTCACACTTTACAAGACGCTGATACTACCCGTGCTATTATATGGATCAGAAGCATGGGTACTTGCGCAAGCAGATGAGGCAGCTCTTGGGGTGTTTGAGAGAAAAATTCTACGAAAGATCTACGGGCCGATCTGTGTCGACGGTGATATCGGCGTCGAATGAACCACGAGCTTTACAATTTATACGCGGACATCGACATAGTCAGTCGTATTGAGCTGCAGCGACTACGGTCGCTAGGCCATGTTGTGCGGATGAATGAAGATGCCCCAGCTCAAAAGGCATATAAAAATGAGCCTACTGATGGTTCCCGTAGAAGGGGAAGGCCACGAATTAGATGGAAAGACCAAGTAGAAAACAACATCTTGGAACGTGGTCTTCCAAATTGGTGGACTTGCGCACAAGACCGAAGCGCTTGGAAATCTTTTTTAAGCTCGGCTTATGGAACAACCGTTCTGTAACAAGCCAGCTAAGTAAGTAAGTGAGGGTGGATTATTGTGGAATCGGACAAATCTATATATGGGAGCTTTATCTAAATATGAGCCAATTTTCTTCAATTCCAATACGGTTCGGTGTTGTCCTATGTTAATTTCTGAAAATACGGTGTTTAGTAACCAGATATTCGATATACCAAATTATAGGCATTTCGATGAGAAAATTCGGTTAAAAACATAATAAATATTAAAATGGAGCGGGACCTTTGTATATATAGACAATTTACCGAAATTTTTTGTTTTGTCCTCAAATATACCGGATTGTAAAAATTCAGCCGCTACAATGAGAAAGTTAGACTAAAACCTTCAAAATACTGACGATGATTTGAACTATATGGAACTATATTGATCAGCCTATAAGAGGTACAGTCACATCGGTGGGAAAATGAGCCGATTTTCAATAACAAATATCCTAGAAAAAGGAGAAATATGTGTGCAAAATTTCATAGATCTATCATAAATATTGCGAGCTGTATAGTGATTTCAACAAGCGGACAAACAAACATGCCTAAATCGACATAGAATTTTATACTTATCTAGAATAGTATATTCTTCATGGGGCATAAAAATCGATCTTTTGATAGCGAACATGGAGTCTTTCCTCCAATAATAGCAACTAAAAATGTATATCAAGAACCTAGCATAACCAGTTCGCCATGGGTCCAGTTTTTGAGTTATGTCGTGATCATTTATTTGTTACTTACTCTAAAGCTCTTGAAGAAAAAGCGTTATATCTTTGTTTGGGGTTATTAAAGTTATTTTTAAAATGACATGTATTCATTTAAAGCAAATGAAAAAGTTTTTTCAATACAACATTCCGTCCTTCTATATCGAGTCCTTATGCGTCCTTATTATATTAAACTGTAAGTAAATACCGAGAGACAATATTAATTTACCTCCAAATAATCTACAAAAATTCCTCACATAAGAGTTTAGTTAGGATCCTCAACAACAATATGTCATTAACTTTCACCACATAGTGGTACTGTGCATATGTTTGTAACAGACAAAAGTAAACGAAATAACGAACAGCTACCATATATATTTTCGTCCGACATTTCGGAAATGGTGCACTAAACTGCCAAGATTTGTCCAATTGCGACAAAATTTTGCATTTTGAACTTTTGATGAAATCGGTTGAGATTTCGATATAAATTCGTCTGATTTTATGCAACCAGTGCGCCAAAAAAAAAAAAAAAAAAAAAAAAAAAAACATGACAAAGTTCAAACTGCTGCAAGGTGCTTAATGTGAGTCCAAATGTTCACATACTCCCCATATAAGGGTCGGCTGATTTTATTTGTATCGAAGTTCCACCTCAGGGAGAATAATGTGAAAAGCAAAACTTCCTTCTACTTATTCACCTTTAAAGCTGAATATTGCCCTTCCAACTGAGTGGGAGCACAAAAAAACTCTTTTGTTCCCGAAGGAAATATCTCCTACTCACAACTCCCTAACACACGTCTAGACGAGAGTAATTAATTTGTAATTACCATTTGACCGGAACAACGCTTAATATCCATTAAAAAGTCCTTTAGAGTAGCCTGGCCGTTTTTATTGATTTACATGTCAATTGACACAAATTACATTGACTACAACAGTTACAATAACAATAACAGTAGCAGAACAGAGAGAGAGACATTTAATTTTTAATTATCCTCTCGAGCACCTGATTAACAAAAGCCAACTTACGAAAAAGGTATGTGTGCGTCGGTGTGTGTGTGTGTGTTTGTCCATTGTTCAGTTTGCACAAGTTGATAAATGATTTTAAATACCACAACAGTTTTTTCCTACTTGATTCTCGTTATTGCCTCGTATTTTAAGTCAACGGACAAAGAATCTGATCTGATGTGTTCAAACTTACCATCTTGAAATTCGCCCTTGTTACACAGATCCCGTATGAATTGATTAGTGCCATGATACAATTTGTTGAATTGATTGCGTTGCTGGAGATCCATGCAGCGTCGGGTATAGCTCTGTATGCAGCGGACTCCTTTACGTAGTTCACTGAAATGAGATGAAAAAAATAAACAACGTAAATGGATGAAAACCACCGGTCAATGACAAACAAAAAAAGAAAACGTCAAACAGAAAAAAATGCAAAGAAGGAGAGAAACTGAAATGCGGATTAAGAAGTTAAAAGGAAGATTTAGTGTCAAGAGTTGACAAATTGTGGATCCAATTTAAAGAAAGAAAAAAAAACTCGACGACTTGACATTACGACAACAGACACTTGACACTCGTCGTCGAAGAAGAAGATAAAGTTTATGCTTTATATGCAAATTTGAACAGCATTGCAATGTGCTTTTGTGATGTTGGTAACAGCACCGTGTTACATATGGTCTACCGAATTGAATGTCATCTAGTTAACAGCATAATAATGTTACAAGGTTTATTCTTATAGGAAGGGAATATTACCATCATTTGTTAGCACTTGCTTGCTCGCTTGGACATGATAATAAATATTTATTGTGGACATAGATAAACTATCACTGCTCGATGTAATGCAAAAAAATCAAGAAGAACTAAGGTTTTTCCACTTCTGTTGATTCGCTGTGGTAGTCGCCATGCAAATAATCTTTGAAATCTTTGTTTTTGTGTTGAAAATGACTTTCAGTTACTTGGCAACTAAAAGAAAAATCTCATCATTTCCAACCTTCAAGCTGTGTAAAGAGTAAAATGACTACACACTTTTGGTCATTGTACGTCAATGTGTCGTTCTCTGACTGTCACTGAATAATTTATTGCCTAGGCAAATGTTGGGCTCTTAAATCCATCTCCACGTGGTGTGCATTAACAATTCTTACATGTATACTATGTTATTGCATTAGGTGGTAGTAGGCAATACATGCCCTGCAAAAATAATATTCCAATTACGATTGCAAAACTGCATTAGGGACTTCCACATACCAAAAGTTGAACATGACATTTGTAGGGGGTTATTTTAAAACATTGGCCTATATTCACCATGAATTGGATATACAAAATTATAGCCACTACAATAATACTGACAAGTAGGTTAGGTTGAAAGAGGGGTGGTTTACACGACTACATGTCCAATATTAGGACATACACTTATCCTGTAAGTGGCGTGTTGTGCGCTCTAGAGAAGGAAGAATGTTAGAAGAAGTCATCTTTGGATTTGATTGTCCTAAACTTCTTCGAATTATTTTTTGTTTGTGAAATCCTTCAGTTTTTTCCTTTTACATCCCCTTATTTCGGTTATTTCATGAAAGGTGTCATTTCCTAAGAATTGGGTTCGGAAGCTTGAAAGGATTGGGCAGTGGCACAGGAAATGTTCTAACATTTCGCTGTCTTCTCCACACCATCTACACCAGTTACTTCTCTCGCATCCAATCGTGTGAGGGTGTGCATGTAGTCTGTCCTGTGAGAATACCAGTCTGCTAATTTTCTTTTTGTTTAGCATTAAGTTTTGCTTTGTCTTATCGTCATTTGGGTCTCCTCATGATATGTTTGTGTTTGTTTTCAGCCCCCTTGATATTCCCAAGAATTTTTTGGGGTTTCCGTTTCCTAAGACCACAGTTCTAGACGCGTAACTGCCAAAGGTTTGGCACAGCATGTTTGCTATATCGTTTGTTATTAATCTCATGTACTCGTACCTTAATGATTCGTAAAATATCATGTCACGAAAAATTATTTACTATTTTTATACTTTCTAATACAGTTTTGGGGTGACGTAGGGGATGATAGTTACCAAGCAACGGCTTCGATTGGCTTTAACATGGCCCAGGCTTATCTTGGACCATCTTCCATCTCAATTGTGGACTTTAACATGGCCCAGGCTTATCTTGGACCCTCTTCCATCTCAATTGTGGACATTTTGGACGGAGTCACATGGGGTAGCTTCTTTCATCATCCGTTGAAATAGTGAGCTGATATGTGCCGCGAGTCCATACGAAACAAAACCCCCCAAATGTTGACGATCCCCGCATACGTTTAAAGGACCACAATCTACGAATCTGCACTTGGTATGCGCGCATCTTGTATTGAACAGGCGCAGTTTTCACCTTGGCGGATGTACTCAAGAAGTATAAAGCCGATATTATTGCCATACATGAAATGCGATGGAAAGGGACTGGCGTAAGTCAATCAGATGATTACGCTCCGTATTATAGCTGCCATGATACGTGAATTTGGCAGCTGATTTATGGTTAATAGGAGAATAAAAGACCTCGTCTCCAGATTCTCTCCAGCAGATGAGTGAATTACTATAATCCGTATAAAAGCGAAGTTCTTTTACATCAGTCTTATTTGCGCCCATGCTCCGACGGAAGATAAATATGAACAAAGACCAAAGACATTTTTACGAGCGCCTAGAAACAGCATATGACCGCTGCCCTGGCCATGACATTAAAATTCTGCTGGGAGATTTTAATGCAAAAATCGGAAGGGAAAATATATTTGGCCCCACCGTCATGTGGTTGATTGATTTCGCTGCAGCAAAAAACATGGTAGTTACCAGCACAAGATTCAATCATCTCGATATACACAAGGCGACCTGCATTTTCCCCGATCGAACAACGAGAAATCAAATCGATCAGGTTGTAATAGACGGAATGCATTCATCCAGTGTTTTAGACGTTCGAACAAGAAAAACGTGAGCAAATCGATATATTAGGAGCCAGAATAAAGACCGAAAATTTTACCAACGAGTAAAACACCAAACCGAAGGCTTGGTGCAGGCACATCCTCCTGTAGAGATGAAGAAGGAAACCTGGTGACGTACACAGACAACATCTTGAGGATCTGGAAGGAGCATTTTAAAAGCTTCTGATATCAAATAGTGGTGGTGATGAAGATCCCCTGAACCAATAAGAGATGACGGTATAGAGTGTATACCACTAGGCAAGATGAGATCAGAATAGAAATCAATAGGCTGAAGAATAATAAAGCTGCAGGTGCCGATGTGTTACCAGCCGATTAGTACAATTTGGCTAGAGGAATGGATGCCCTATGATTGGAACCTCATTAGCCTGTGTCCCGTCACAAAGAAGGAAACAGGACGATATGTGCCAACTATAGAGGAGTAAGTTTCCATCCCATCGCATATAAAGTGATGATGGCTGAAGCCAATAGTAAATGACCTTATTGGCAAATAGTAAATGACCATTGACGAGATTTTCACTGTGCGGCAAGCCTGTAAAAGACCCTCGAAAACCACCTTGACACATTCCACCTATATGTCAACTATAAAGCCGCATTTGACATCCCTATCCATTCAGAGGTACAAAAAGCCGTGTCTGCGTTCGGCATTACTAAAAAATTAACAAAGCTAAAACATCAGTTTTGAAATTCGGAAGAGAGTAGTGTTGGCCAACAGATGCTACTATGGTCTGAGTAAGCAACTAAATAGCAAGTCCACCTCTCGCCAAACCAAACTCCACTCTAGTAGACGCTGATATTATCCATGCTGTTGTATGGATCTCAAGCATGGATAAGTGTGCAAGCAGATAAGGCAGCTCTTGGAGTGTTTGAAATAAAAATACTCCGTAAGATTAATGGAATTCATGGTTCATTCGACGACGATATCACCTATTCTCGGACATCGACATAGTCAGACGGATCGAGCTGCAGTGACTATGTTGGCTAGTTCATGTTGTGAGAATGGATGAAAATTTCCCCACTCAAATGCATATAAAGTCGAGCCAAGCGATGGTTCACATAGAAAAGAAAAGCCGCGTATCCGGAAAATGGTCTTTCAAATTGTTTTAGTGGTTATTGTTTTTATAGCTTGCTTGCTATCTGTCAATATATTTATTATATTCCGACCAGAGTTTGCACTAAACCCGTTCAGACACTCCCTTGTAGCCTGATCCTGTGATTTGGAAACGAAAGTAAAATTGCGGGTTTTGGTGCTTCAATAAAAAATCCCACTTTCGACATTCCTGCCAGGTGGGAGCCATCTGTGTGAAAACAGTTACCAGGGTATATGTTTGCTAGTATTCCGCTACCCCATGATCCTCTGTCTAATATCATAGTTTTAGACGTTGTGACTACTATTTTTCACGGAATTCGGTACGACTCAAAACTACTAATTGATGATCCGACTGTTGTATGTGCTATTATGTCTAGTGTCGATCCACTCGTTCATAGTTTTATGTCTTAAAGCTGCGACGGCCGCTTCATATTTATTTGGATGTCAATTAGATGTATTTAAATATGGACTCCGAAGCTATCGTTAGTGTTGTTCTTACATTAACTTACATTAATTTTTTTGTCCACTGCTGTTCACCTCACTGCCGATTGGATGTTAGGATTGGTCTAAAAACGCTCTTATAGATACAATGTATCATCTTTGAATTAAAACCCCATTTAAAATCTGCAGCTATTCTGTAGAAGGACCAGCATGATTGCCTGGTCAAAGCGAAAGGTCTCTACGGAATGTATAAAGGTCTCTACGGAATGTAAAGTTTCCTCGATATAGGTTCATACAGCTAAAGTAAATATTTTCTTATCAACGGTACCACCGATCATCCCTTTAAAATCAAATTAGAGTCCATTCGTTTAAAAAAAATATCCAAACCCCCATAAATACCAAATGGGTTGGGGATACCATTGTATGAGGACGACCCGGAAACATGGGTCAATATTTTATTATACCCTACACAACTATGTTGTCAGGGTATAATAGCTTTGAGCAGCCCCAAAAGATTGTAACGCCGCGAAATATTGGTCCTAGACCACCGATCGTCATATCTGGACTAGCGGAGTTGATCTAGACATGTGTATCCGTCTGTCCATTACAATTTGTAAACACGATACAGGCCACAGTTATGGACCAATCTTCATGAAATTTTGCATGTAGGATGGGTTCTGGCCAATGAAGACCCTTATTGGTAAAGATTGGTTAATATTTAGGAGATGAAATGGACCAAATACTTAATTTTTGTCGGTTTTTCTGGTCGCACCAGAGGCCGCAATTATGGTCCGAACATCGCGAAATTTTACATGGAGAAGGGAATCGGGCCAAGGAATAAGCATGCCTG